ATTATCTATATTCATAACTTTTTTTCTGTTTAGCAATCTGTGAGGAGTGTGCCGACTTTCGGGGCAGATCATTGATACCTACAGGGGAATACACCTTGAAGAAGAATACAGTCAGACATTTTTTAGGTTCCATACGGTGCTATGAATTGAAATTCCAAGTCCCAGGAGTGGCAGATTAGATGGCATCTGCAGGGACTCGAAGAAGTCAAATAATATGACCCTTGGGGTAAATGAGACACACTTGATATGTACAGGTTATTCTTGCTTATTTAGTCAAAGACATTGCCAGTCAATTAGAAGTATTTCACGGAGAAAGAACTCGAATACACGCGAGGGTTTAATGAACGAGCACGGTTGGAGAGAACGGAAGCGTGAAAAAAGTCGGTGAAAGCTAACGCAATCCCATTTCACGAATTCCGGGTGTCTTTGAACGGGCGAACTCCGCGTTCCACAACAATTAACCGATGGCAATTAAGACATCTAAATTAATTCGTTATAAACAAGCCAGATATTCCGTAGCGAGCGAAGCTACGTAATTGCCCGGATTCTCACAATCCTCGACAGAAGAGAGAATCCTCGTCATGTACACCCACATTCGTGTCTACTCGCGTTAATACATAATGTATAAGCGTGAACGTGCACGAACAATTCACTAACACAGTGCAGAGTGTAGCGCGGTAATAGCAACAATTACTTCATTTTACCATCTTCCCGGTTCACAAACGAGCAGCCACCTAAGCAATTTCATTTCCTCGCGTTTGAAATATCCGCTCGAATAAGAAACCCGTCGCGAACAGCGCTGAACTTTCTTTTCTCCGTTGGTGTGCAGAGTAGATTCGACTATTTAGGCGCGAATTAAACAGTCTTCCGCGCATTTAGCTCGTTAAGCTTGATTCACATGGTGGTTCGAGTAAGCCATTAATCTGGACGACTGAACAATAGGCCTAGGGTTATCGAGTTGCTTAAACTTTGGCGTCGTATCGTCACGCGGTTTAATCTTCCTCGTCAAATCGGCACGCGTTCAGAGGTTGACAATGGGATCCGCGATATCGCGTGATCGGTCGCGAGGGATTAACTTTATCAAAAGTTTGAGAGAAGCATAATCGTGTGAATCCAGCCTTAAGATACGACTCGCGTACACGAGCGTAGAACAATGCGTTGATTAGTCGTGATCTTTGGGTATTTATGTCCGCCACGGTATTCTCGATACGTAACGATGGCCTTAATTTGACGATCAAGATCGGAGAAAATTATAAGTTACCGTTTCCTTGGAACAGCTTCCCGTTGCCGTGTAATGCACCGAATTGAAATTGTAATTCGAACGCGTCCGTATACACACGCTTGTTCAAGTTTCGCGTGTGCACTGATTCCTTTAATCCGTACTATCGAGGTCCTTTTAAAGCGATACGGATCGGTAATTATATGAATTAATTAAGGTAGAAAAGAACCTACGGGTAATCCTCGAACAGCACGGTGGTCGTTCAATAAAAGAAATGCGCATACTAAAACGGAATAGTTTCAGTTTAATTGGATAATTAACCATTATGGTAGTCGATAAAAACATGGGTACGTGCAATTTTCACCTGTTTTACAAACTCCCAATTTCGGTTTCTTATTTTTCCGAAACGACGGTAGCAATTAGAAACTCGTCGTCGCAAGAATATACGGGTTGCGAAATTTTATGTAACAATTTCATCGTCTCGCGACTACCGCCAGTTTCCTGACGCGATAACGTTGTACCGCACGCTAATTGTCGTTTTTCACGTACGTTTCCCCGTTTTAGACCGTCCTACCTGGTCGACGAGCGACATTTTAGCGCTAACGAGTTGCAGTTTAACGACACTGTTCTACGGACTTAATTGGCTACCACTAGCTTTATCGTACCGTATGCTTCGCTCATTCTTTTGTTTCATGGACTCGTCAATGGTTCGCTCAACCTTCCACGACACCCTCGCCAACCACGATTAAATGCCGCCATTCGCCACGATGAACAACGACAAATCGAGCCGCTACTCCCTACCCAACACGAAACTATGAATTCCTTGAAATGCAAATGAGCAAGGGATGATAGAATCTTGAACGCTTTCACTGACTTTGTTGTATCGCTACGCGTCGTATCTCCGTGTGTTAAATCTCTACCGGTTAAATTTAAATGTTCGAATAAATATAACGGAGAACCGTGGAAAAACTAATTATATTCGAGAAATAATTGATGAATTATGATACACTGGTAGGTAAACGGTGTCAGCACTGACCTATTCTAGATCGAATTGCGAGGCACGTGTAATTATTTCAATTAAAAGCTAACGGTAATGGTCGATAGGTGGATAAGGGTTAAAGAAGTCGGAGAATCGATTAAAATTGTTGAGCAGGTAGGCAAGTTAGATTTTATAAATTCCTCGGTCATTAGCGGGCCTCACGAGGAAATGATAAAATTAAATGCGTGCTCGCGGCCGATTACAAACGCACATTATTCTCGCTTTCCTCCTGGGAAAGTTAAGGCATCGAGCGTGTTAATTATAATGAACGTTAAGTAACCGGTGTGCGCGCGGCCGTGCTATTATCGTTTGTACCGAGTAACAAAATCGCTCAGTCCCTGCATCGCATCGGGGAAAGCAGTTTACAGCTTGTTACTTATCGCGATGAAGTGCACTAATGCGGTAATGCACGTGAAATCCTATCGACCGGCAAATCTACCATGAATTGAACATAACGATGTTCGAAACGGTACAACGCGAAACGTCGTAACACATATTTTTCGCAATTTTTCGCTTTACTAACATTGCTTCGTTCACGCTCACCTTCCTAACTTTGCAACTATGTTTTTTTCGTTCGGTACGTCCTCTATAAATTTCTATCGTTCGCGATTTAAACGAGTCGTGTAAAAATATTAAAACCTTTTTCTTATCGTTTCACCCGTGTACAATTTTACCTCGCATACCTGCGCAATGTCAAGCTTAGATCTCGATGCGTCTTCGAACAGATTTCACTCGTAGCTCTAGCGGAAACAGTTTCCTCGTCTTCCGTTACTATGCTGAAAGAATTCATTGTGTTCGGCACCGAGAGAATGCAGCGTGCCAGTGCATGAAATTTAATTGCACCGTTATCGGAATAATTGGAGTAATAAATAGTCCCGGTACGAAGGAGAATTATAAATCTCTTCCGTTAAAGTTTCCACGAATAAACGTGACAATCATTCCGAGGATCGAAAATGACTTTTCTCGAAGCTTCGAGAACTTTGAAAATTGCAAATCTGCGGTTAAATTACAATAAGCGAAACGAGGATTAAACAACTATGGGATAAATTTTTTGCGAACCTTCTCGTCGGATTGCCTCGACTAATTCGCATGACTACCAGTTCTGTACTTCGATCTTCGTGTAGATGACGGATCGATGGCGATTCGACGCGTGAAATTCGAAAGCAACCAACGAAATACACGCGGTAATGACTGGGTAATAATCGACGTGACCGTGGCTCGAGTTGTAAACGGTTCGAAAAAATCGTTAACTGGCCGGAAATCGGTAATCGCCTGGAATAATCGGTTCCTTTTATATCTGCTTACGGTTTTTTTCCTTTCGCATCGCATTAGTCGCGGACACGCATTTTTCTACGTAAAAACGAAACACCAGAGGGTGGCTGGCGGTAGAGGGTCGTAACTCGCCTCATTTTCTCTTCTTCGTTTTTATTTTTTGTCGCCGTTTAATCGAACTCAAGCTGCGCATATCTTCTCCGGTAATTAGAGTCGTCCCTACCGATGCACGTTAAGAACTCGTTCTGAATTTCAACAATTCAGACCGGCTCGAGCTTTCGAGATTCGAATAAAATTCGAGGCGATTCGAAGCCTATCATCAATTATTCCCTTTTCTTAGACCGTCCACAATTACTCGTTCGTCCACGAAACTCATTGGACAAACGGGATATCCTAATCGTACGGTTCATTATGAACGTGTGCACGCTCGCGATGACTATGACTGATGCTAAACCACGACGAATTGCGATGCACATTACGAATAAATATCGCACTCTTTGCTTGGTCGGGTTTAATGTGGCTGCTCGCATGATTGCCACTTGGGTGGGTTTTGAAAATGCATCGCTCCAGACTACGGGGACATTACGTTTAATTAAATTTTACCGTGTCATACGACGATTATCTCGCTTCGAGACGAATAAAAACGGCTTGGTAAATTGTTAAACCTTTATACACTCCAGTATCCCGAAGGTAACGTAGCAAATTATTGTCTTAAATTCATTATCTTCTTTCTCGCGTTTCTTCAACCACCGACCGTGATGTACACGTATTTCAACAAAGACACCGTACAAATGTATTGTCGTTGCGATCGAAGGATCGGTGAAAATTCGAGATCTATCGCGAAAATGATGATTTCGAGCGATGTCGGTCGTTGAAGCGATCCAAACGATTCCGAGCTCCGCCATCTATCTTCTGGCACGTTGGTAGCGAAGAAAGAAGGCATAATTAAATTAAATTAAGCCCGGCTCTGAACTCTCGGTCCCCGCACCTCTCTCCTTTCCACTGTTCTACCAGCGGCGATAGTCGACGCCGCCTTTATTTGCAAGCAATTTGCGCTCGCGAATCGTGCTGCAAAAAATCTGAAAATAATGCTGCCGTATTAATCATATCCCTCCGCCCTTGTTCCTCTCCTTCCTCTTTCGCTTCTGTCCGTCCGTCTCCCTTCACACATTCCTTGCTCGTCCACGTACCGACATACTTATGCCTCGTCCTCGTATATTTACTACCAAAAAACGCCGCATCCGTGCACACACGAGCTGCTACAATTTAGTGCTCTATTTAATGCACTTCTGTGATCCTCCGCCGCAAAAAACCTACTGTTGTTAACTTGTATAGAGAAAGTCTGACCGGAATCAATGACAAAAGTATCGGAAAATTACACTTATGGCACGTAAATCTAAAACTTTCACATAGACAATTACATCAAATTACGAATTGTGATATACCGGTTCAGGGAAAGATTCACGCAGCTAATTTCAAATGTTTATTTTTTTAAATAATAACCAATCGTTAATTATTTAAATTCGCACGAACAACTATGTACAAAATTACGTTTAAGGTACATAAAGGGGAGGATATTTGTACACGAATCGAGAACACGGGGAAAATCGCATTGTGTTAACTAACAGTGGAGGTGATAATGCAAAGCTCAGGATTTCTTTGGCTTCTTCACAGGTTCGAGACCGCTGTCGTATTCGGAGGTGTTAAGCATTCTGACTCTCTTCAGCAACCCCGGCTTCCGCTCGTCACCTTGACGTTGGTGCTGTTGTTTCTTTGCCGGCTCCCCGTCGGGCCTGAAAACGCAAAGACGGTCCTTAATCGTCGCATTAGGGCTAACCCGCAATTTTCGGTAATTCGACGTAAACGACATGTGGCGAGGACAGAGCGAGGTAATCGAAAATCGACAAAAAACACTCGACCGGGCCAAATACACCCCCTGCTTCGGCGACGCGCTGGAATTCTGGCAACTGCCGTGCCGAATTTCACCTTCGTCACCAAGTTTTTCCACGAATGTGCCCGTAGGAGTAACAACCGACTGTTTAAAAAACATTTCATCCGCAAAAACACTCGATTCGACCGTAAACTTTGAAATTTCAAGGAAACCGATAGACTTGTTTCCAGTTAATCTGCCCCGAAGAACATGGATAATCAGACTAAATGTGTTCGATAATTTTGATTTTTTAATTAGTGTCAACCTTTTAAGTCAAAATGATGTTTAACAATTAACTCTAAGATCGCGGCGATGATTCTGACCGCCGTCTATTTGAAAAAATTAAGATTTCAAAGTTTACAGGGTCAAACTGAAATTTATATTTGAATGGGGGTCATGGGGAACCCTCCGTATTTCATGTCAGAAATGACGGTGTTTGGAATCGCTAGTACACCCGCACACGAAACGGATACACGCGTTTAAACGCGCACACAGAGTTAAGCGTAATCGCACCCACAGAGGCGTATATACACCGTGGGTCCCTCGATCCATTGGACCGTCAGCTCGGTGCCCGCCTTTCACCCATTAAAACGGACTTGTTCGCTCTCTCGACGGGTGTGGAGGGTGCCCGTCGGTTAGCCGTTGTGCACCGAAAGCACGCCCATTCAAATCGCGTGAAACAAATTAGTGGTCCACGTTGTATCACGAAGACGCACGCTGTGCGTACCGTGAAATGTCGCCGAACACTGTTTCAAGATTTCAAATTGTTAATCAAGAATTTTGAATGGACAATATTATTGAGGTAGAGATAAAACTTTGTGGCTAAAATTTTTGAGCTCCAAAGAGGGTAAAAGTGAGGAAAGCGCGGGTGTAATTAAGCGGTTCCATGGAAAACAAAGACCGTTGCAGCAGGAGGTTGCAGCGTTATGGTTGACCAAACAAACGCGAGGCGCACCGGAAAAAATAGAGATCCTGACGAGGAGGAAACCATAAATACGAAAGCGCAAAAAAGGGAAGGTAACGAACGACGAGAGAAAATCAGAGTGACGGTGTACGAGATTTCCACGAAAAGAGAGGGATGAAGAGGATAAGGGCGAGACAGAGAGCGAGAGAAGCGAAGAGCGAAGAGGGAGGCTCGTGCTCGTCCCGTGGTTTCCGTAAATGGCACAGCCAGGGCCGGAAGTAGCGGTCGCATCAGTCTGTTTAATAGCCGTATTGTATAATTATGAACAATGGAGAGACAGAGAGTCGTGTATCGGAGAGAGAACAGGAGAAGCCTGGAGAAGGGCAGAAGCCAGCCGAATGCCATGTGAAATGCATACCCGGGAGAAAGATGGACGGAGACGCGCGATTTCAGAGAACGAGAAAGAGAGAGAGAGAGGGAGAGGGAGGGAAGCGAAGTTAGATGGAGAGAAACAAAGAGGAAACCGAGAGGGAGATGGCGAACGACGAGGATGAGCACGACGAGAGCCGTATGGCTTATGGCTGCCAGCCACCGTACACCACGTCCGCCCGTTCGTCGTACATGACGAATGACACAAAGCGACAGTTTTGACGTATCTAGCCTCTCTAGGAACCACGAGCTGTCCTCTCGCTACGTTTGCGTGTACTATCTGTTAACACACGTGGTTGCGTTTGTTAGGCACCGTGAAAGGGAGGGAAAGAGAGGCAGAGATATCGGCCCCGTAGCCACAGTTAACACGCCAAGCCACGCATGAATCCGTCATTAATACTGCCAGTTCGCTCGTCTCCGCGATTGTCTACCTTGTATATCCACCAACAGGTCTGCACACGGTCTGATTACGAGAATCCTTCCGTTCTAAGATTCTCTGATCCTTTTGTTTTCTCTCCTTCGTCTCGTTCTTTCCTTTTACAAATCACTTACTAAATGAATGGGTAGCTTCAACCGCGAGGACGAATAAGAATGAGGTCGAAAGTTGGTTGTGTGCAGACAGGTCTTCTTACATAAATTTTGATTTCATGTACGTCGTGTAATTACAACACCATAAACTCATCGATAAAGCTATGACTACTCCCATACACATATGATTGTGTAAAGTCAAATTTATAAGACTTGCTTTATTATTGCTAGAAGTAATAATAAAAGAATGATAAAACTTACTTTTCAGTCGTTGGCTTGTGAAGCCTATTGTTATGCTGTGGCTTAGAGACCTCCTTCTCCCGAAGCTTCTTCTCTATCCCTCCGATTCGTTGCGGAGTTTGTCTCAACGCGAAGCTCTTGGCAAAATGACCTAGGTGGACGTTTTTCCTGTTGAAGATCTCGCGCATGTCACGAGGGTATCCAGAGTAGAACCGTATCCATGAGGTGTACGCTGGAAATCACAAGCAGACACGGTTATCAAATCCAACGTTTCATCGCGGTTAATCGTCCAACGGGACAAATGACAAGTGGTGCGAATGAAATCTCGAAGAACCTTTAGAAAACGCTTGTGTCCCGCCCACGTGTAAATGAGGACACGTGCACCGTAATTCGGACCTAATGATTGGCCGTGTGTAATGTGCTCTTATTAATCGAGCTTCCATTAAGTTCTACAGGGGTTACCGATTTTCTGAAGTGTGCGTGTATGTACGTGTGCCCTGTGGTGAGCTATTAAGAGGCATTAACAGGGGTCGAGTCAAGTGCTGTGGCTAATAGTCAGCCCCTTATCCCCTCTTAACTTCCCTAGCTTTCGCGCGCGGGTGAGAAACTCGGGGGTTCACCGATCCTGAGAGAACTTGACATGTGCCAGTGTTACTGTCATTCCGTGCGAAAAATCTACCGTGAAGTACTTCGTGGTCCGCTCTTTTGACGGATCGGTATAACTCTCGCGTATTTATAGGCGAAGTTGAAAGCTGCAATTACCTATGTCGGAACAGTACCTGGGAACGGGTTAACACGCTGCCATTATTATAATAACTTTATGAACTATTATAAAATCGTGAATATTAATTTCACGAGGGTAGCTTTGGAATTCTTGTAATTCGAAACCATATAAATATCTCGAGATTCGACTCGAAAAAAATTTGTCTATAATCGAAGATATTATTTTGAAGAGAAAATAAAAAGGAAAAAGTCCGCAGTCTAGACAGACAATATAGCCAAGAAAAGTTAAATGTCTTTAATCTTGATAATTCACGGGTTACAGCTTATATCTTGACAGTTTCCTGCTTGATTTCCGTCTGCCTCCTATCCCGACTCGTCTCTTCCGAGTAAAAAAGTTGCAAAGATCTTTCTGCGGTGGCACGGTGTCGGGTGTTGAAAAGGGAGAAATGTTTTTCTCCATTTAGCGCATAAATCAGTCGAGGGGGTGGTATCTAGCCGAGAAGTTGGAGGAACGAGGACAGAAGGGAGTAAGGGGTGGTATTGTTCCTAAGTGATGTAACTGCGTCTTATTGTATTTGTATCCTGTATCGCATTGTTAAGAGTCTCTCGCCACAAAGCGTAAGTGGTTTTGGCGGAAGCCACATTCAGTGGTTGGATTGTGTCGGCCACCCCCACGTGAAAGGCGTACCGGCGATCTACACTGCGTTCAGCCTAACTTCTTTCTAACATTTTAACTACCCTCGACAAAATAAAAAATTTTCATTTATACACAGTTTAAATTTCAAGTATTCGTTTGGAAACTTGAAAATGTTCATTTGGAGTCCACGTTGAATATAATTTTAAACGTTGTCTATTGCACGTTATTCCATTCCGAATTTGCACTTAAAATTCCAATTATCTTACGTATCGTAAACGTCAGAACATTTGCGAATGATAAAGTTAAATACACGCTTTGTTTTTGCAAAAAGAAAGGAAATATTTATCTTTCAAATTTACGAGTAGTGGATGAGTTTAAATATGTAAATACGATTATGTACGCTTACGCTTTTTAAAGAGGGGTATTAACCGTTGGAAATCCGCTTGCCGAAAGTTACTTCAAAAAGAGTATAGCGAGGAACTGGTATAAAGGACGACATATATATACGAGATGGAATGGATGAATCTCTTGGGTTAGAGGTAGGGGCCGAAGACCAGGGGGTTGTTCTATGGAGTTGTATTCACTATTGAGGGCTGTTCGGCTCTATTGGGGTGATAATGTTACGAATTAGCGAGATTTCCACTTCCACGCACGCTGCCCTGCCCCTACATCGGTCACGAATTAAATAAATGCTAGGGGTTGTGAAGAACAGTATAACGTGGTAGTCATAAATTCTTCTGATTCAATTCTTTACTTGTTACTCTCTTTTAGCAGAGTTAAGTTTGCAAACCTTTTTTTACAAATAATTGTTGAACGAAAATTTTGTAGAAGGACATTCCATCTTTTCCACACAAAAAAATTTATGAAACGAAAGAGTTAAAAAAGATGGTCTAACTTTGTATCCACGTTTTGTTTCCTCGATTTATCTCGCATTTTTCCCATAATCCACGGCACCTCATGGGAAGTGCGGCATCGAATGGTGGACGACAATTAATCTATCAATCACCCGGAGCACGTAGTGGAACGGTCAAGTGGTTAACTGTGTACCGTCACTCAAATCTGAAACGGCTAAGCGCTCAAAAACCGTGGCTAACATTCGTGTAAAGCCAGCCTTGACGTGAGACAACTACGAAAACTCAAAAACCTCTTAAGATAGATTTATGGTGTTTATTTTTTCGTTTTTGAAATCGATCACGGCCTTTCACAATTTCATTTTCCCTTTCCACTTCGGAGACTTATGTTCTCCCGTTATCGCGCAAGGGTGGTAAATATTACGCACCCTCTGAACCGAAACTCGAATCATCGTATCCTAATGGATTTATTATTGCAGCAAATAAATTCTCCGCCCTAACGACCCTAATAGAGCAACCGTGGCATGGCAAACAAGATCATCCTTCCTCGTCCAGACATGGAGCGAGAGAGTATGTAAATATGCGGATGACGAACGGAAAACCGAGACAGAACGAAGGTTCTATAAACGTGTTCCGTAGCATTATGGGACTTTATGCGCGAATAGGGTGCCCGCTGGAATTGGTTTAGTCTACCCCGTAGTCAGCTCGCTTTCGTTCCGATCCAACTGAATCGAAGTGCTTGCTCTCCCTTATTCTTCGACAAATTTCATGAACACTTTGCGTTTCATCGAAGCAGACTTTGGAATCGTGTTAAGTGGAAACCTTTACGTTTCAACTGCTCAGAGTTTCGAGATGTAATTTTGAAAATCATACCTCGATACGCCTTGTCTCGGAGTTTCGGATCTTCCAGCACCATATTCTCAAATTCATTCTGCAGCGCGATTGCCGCACCCTGGGTGGAAGAATGTTTCGACAGAGGGCTCATCAATTTGTCTAAAACGTCATCCATGTTCTCTTGCTTAATTCTGATACGTCTGGACTCGAGCATTCGGACAAAATCGATTTCTGATGGTATTAGAAAGATCGTGGCTGAACCGGAGGAACCAGCTCGCGCTGTTCTACCTATTCGGTGCACGTAATCTCTGGCGGAAGTTGGTCCTGTGTACTGTACCACGCAGTCCACTTTTGGCAGATCTAGTCCACGAGCCGCTACATCCTGATGGACAAAAAACAAATACGAAATGAAAAAGAACCATCGAAGGTTGTACTCATTTTTTAAGGAACCGAATACATCGCAAATGGAAAAATGTACGAAAAATATTGATTTCTGATTGCGACCATAAATTCTGTTCCGTCGAACAGAGACGAATCGAGCGATACCACGAACGATATTTATTTCGAAGAGGCGAAGTTCTTTCTCGTATTCCTTCACCCTGGCGCCTGGACCACTGGCATCGAATTAATTCGATAAAACGACGCGGAAAATAAAAAAAGAATAAAGAAGAAGACAGACACATCCGTATCGTGCCGCGAAAGAATTTTCGGTGCCGCGACGCCCCCTACTGGTGGTCCAGGATTAGTCTCCAGGGCCGTCAAGCAGAAACTCGATGTGCTCCGTTCGGTAAATCATTGGTTAACCGAACGCAAGGAAATCAGGGCCGTGCTCAAACGTTCGCTGTTGGGGTCCCACAGCGGGCGCTCGCAACCAGCCGCGCGCGTTCACCTTCCTACAAAACGAGAAATCGACGCGGTTTGTAAGACATTTGTACCGGCAGATCGCACGCTTTGCAACTCTTGTTCGTTGCTTGTTGCATCAGCGACCGAGAAGACATCTACGATTCGTTGGATAATCAAGAAATCAAATCTTCGTCGATCGATATATTCCAATTTGTTTCGCTATCGAATCCTTGTTAACATCTTCATCGAAGATCGGAGAAATTGTACGCAATTACGCTAATCGATTCTTAAAAATGAATAAAAATTGAAACTTCTGAAATGTAAATATTTGCAACTGTTTAATCTGTCAAATCGATAACAATCTGTACCAAGATCATTACTGTTTCTTACTCGTTAATGTTATCCGAAATGTTTTGTTCTTTTCTTCGCGAAGAGAACGTTTCGAGATCGCGATAATTGATAACCTGAAATAAACAAGCTCGATTAGAACTGGCCCGAAGGATAGTCTGATAAAGCGAAATCGGTACGAACGCCTACGCGTGTCCGTATGGAACAAGCAGCCCAGTTGCCACCGGTGCGATCTAACGTAACGAAAAACAGGGACGAGAAGCGATCGATGGCAGCGATTAAGACAAACGATCGTTTAGAAGAGAGGCCGCGATCGTGGCCTAGAGGATCGAGAACGGATCGTCCGTTCAAAACATCTCACTCGGACCATAGATCACCTCCTTGGATCCGGATTCACCACCGCTGAGAGCCGCGGAACATTCCATCCGCGGGGGCTCTCGTGAGTTTTCAACGTGGAAATTAATAATGCTGCCATAGAATCTCCGTACAAGTGATGCTGTAAAATGTGGGCGGCTGCCATTGTTGTTCATGCTCTCAGACTGACGATTCGTGTACGTCTCGAACGTGAACCGACGAAATTTCAGGGGGAGACAACATTTTTCAAGTAACAGAAATCCATTTGCACGAACAGCGCACACGTTGTAGCACCGCGTGTTAAATCGTTCAGAAATTACAAAAATATGTAAATGGGTAGGTATTCTTTGAATCGCTGCTTGAAAGAACTGGTTGAGAGTTAATTGGTCTACACGAGATCTAACAAAGAAGGCAGAAAGGATGATCAAAACCTGTAGCGAGTTACCGTGAAACTCGTGTCGAATCGGCCATGCGATCGCCTGACGAAAACGAATTAATCTCTGTGTCATTCGTTGCGTGTCGCGGGTCATGAATTTTACCAGTCAAGCGTTCAACTGTATTTTGACATTTTCTTCTCTTTACTTACCGAGAAAGCGACCATTCAAATTCATTATCGTCGGCATCGATCATTTTCGACGGTAATTAGAATGATCGAGTAATTCTCGTACTGTAACGATACACGAATTAAAAGAGCGATTTAGCGTTTTCGAAGTATTTGCGATACGGTAGACTCTCGTTATATGAGAGTTTGATCGGTTCGGTTGTTAGCTATCTGGATGAAATGTTTTCTGTTGCAACAGAAGGATCATTAACGCGATCGTTCACGGTGTTTGAAAAGTAGAAAACAATTAAAGAAAGGGGCTTGTACATAACGGGCAAACAATCATAATTATACTCGTTACGAAGGCCTCATGTGCGCGCATAATTTTTAACCTCCGGACACAGCGTGGGTCCAGAGATATTAAATTCCGCCCTGAAAGAATAAGCTACGGGGTAATTTACTGCTCTGGGAGTACCGCTGAGTATCCCTAGCTTTTCTTCTGTTCTTCCCTTCTCTTTTATCTCGGTTCTCTCCTTCGTTGCTGTTTTATATTAATTTCTGCTCTTGCAGACCCGTTTCATTGCTTTTGTGACGTGTCACGCGATTATTTTTTACTAAGTGTCGTCTAAAAATAGGTTTTCTATACAAATACGCAACAATTATCGCTTATCACTTGAGCAATGAAGTTAAAACATGTACAAAAGAAAATATAACCACTGTCGAGTGTAAATACTTAATAATATAAAGAATTGTCAGTGCATTCGGTCACAAATAGACAATAAACTCACCGTACATAGTAGAACTCCACTGTTTGCTTGTCTGAAGGTTTTAAAGACATCGGTTCGTTCCTTTTGAGTCATGTTGCCGTGTAACTTGAAGAACTCCACGTCGACCAGAGGATCTGAATCATCGTCATCCTCGTCGACAGGTTTAGTCAACACGGAAGAAAGGATTTCTGTGTGATAATCGACCATATCTTGAGTCGCCATAAATACCAATATCTTGTGTTGTCCATGACTCTATTAATAATACGGATAACGCTGTGAAGTGTGACCTTGCATGACAGAGCGATTAATCATTAATTTAAGAAAAGAATAGGATCTACCTGACACTTTCCAGCGATATAAGCGCTCAAAGTGACCATTCTTAATTTTGGCGGTGTTACGATGTAACTTTGAACCATGCTTTGAGGGACAATTAAATCCTCGTTGAGATCGGCCACAACACCGCCACTTACTTTTAAATTTTCTGTTGCAGCATCCACAAAAACAGGATGATTCATCGCGAGACCGGCTAATTTTTCTACAGATTGCGTTAAAGTCGCAGAAAGCAAAATTGTCTGTCTTCCAGTTTGATTTTCGACGATAGTGTTATGTTCATCTTTTATCGTACTATTTTTCAAGTCGCTAGATTTCTTCTTGCTCACAGTACCTGAGCAAACTTTTTTCTTATCTGTTTTTATCGATTTAATGTAAGGTTCTCCTGCGTCGGAATCATTATCACTACTAGAATGATACACTTGTTTTTCCTCGTTATTAACATCCTCAGATTCTGATTCCGTGTTTTTGTCTGACTCGATTGAAACGTCATTATGCGCTTCTGTTTTAGTATCAGGGTTACTTGCCATCTGCTCAACATCATCGTCAGTAAAGACTTTTTTAACGTTTCGCTGAAATATTTTCATTGCATCGTATTCCGTATTTTCATTCGGAATCGATACTTTTAAAGCGCTTACTATACTGCAATTACATCATAAAAGAATATTTAATTGAATAGTCAATATGCTAGATCACTTAAGCTATAAGGACATGTACCTTGATATATCTTTCTCGTATCCTAAATCAAACATCCTATCTGCTTCATCCAAAACAAAATATTTAATGTCAGTTAGCTTTAAAGCAGCTGTTCGTTGTACATGATCTAATAATCTACCAGGTGTACTAATTAAAATATTGCACCCTTTTCTCAACCTAGCTTTCTCTGCTTTTCTCTTTTCACCCCCTGCTAAGTAACCTGGTACCACCCATGTAAATGACTAAAATTATTTATAAAATTATTGAAATATATATACAAAATCAATTACATATTATTTATGCACCACTTACTTTGACTAACTTCAAGAAACACTCGTAAGTTTGTAAAGCCAACTCTCTAGTGGGTACAACAACAAGCGCTTTCAAACCACTATTTCTGTTTAATTTTGGTCTAATTCTATGGAGAAACTCAACTATAGGTAAAGCATACGCTAATGTTTTTCCAGAACCAGTCTGAGACCTGATTAACACATCTTTTCCAGAGAGTATCTGGGGAATTGCTTTTTGCTGAACTATTGTCATCTTAGTGATTTGCATATTTTGTTCCAAATTAGATATCTGGTGAAATGATTTTGCGATCAATAAGTATTGTTATATCAAGAAGAGGAGCTAAATAATATTACCAACCATGAAGGGATGTATATTGAGATCAGTGAAGTTAGTTGCAGCAAAAACTGGCTCGTTTATTGGCTTTACTAAACGCTGGCCAATATGAGGTATTTCTGGATTATGACCAAACAAGGAAGATATTTTTCCAGAAGACTTATGCAAAACTTGTGTACCTTTCTCATTTTCTACGCTAATATTACTCTTGCGAGTTGGTTTTTCTGCATGTTTTTGTTTCTCTTTTTTACTGTGATTTGTAAAGGAAACAGTTTTAGGCTCATCAAATTTAAAGTTCTTTTTTGGAGGGACCTCTTCGACTGAATCCGCTTTCCCAAATGAACTTAATAAACTAACATCTTTCTCGGGTTCCTTTTGTTTTGAGAATATACTAGCAAGTGTTTTATTTGAACTTTTGTCTGGACTCTTACGTTTCCTTGCTAATAATGTTTTACCAAAGTTTTCTTTTGTAACTTTAGTAAATGAAATTACAGGATCATTGGAAACTTCAGAACCCTCAGCTGACAATGACTTATTTGTTTCTGTACCTTCCTCATTTTTTTTCACTGATTTAACTGCTTTTTGTTTTAATGTCTTATTGTCAGTATCTTTAGATTTTACATTAGACTTTAATTTACTATGCACTACGGAAGCTTGATTTTGATTAACTTTATTAGTTTCTTTCAATTTTTGCGCTACAATTGTTCCCAAAAGTTTTTGTTTAACTCTTTTTTTAGCAGTATTGATTTTTTTATTCGAATCATGTTTTATTTTACTACTATTAGTAACATTTATTTTCTGTGTTCCAGTTTTTTGACTTCTCATTAAATTAAGAATAGAATCATCGTCTGTTTCTGTGTTCTATATAGAAAACAAAAATCTTATTTAAACAACAATTCAAAAAGCACGATATAACCTCTCCCTTACCTTGCCAGGACCAGATCCTACAGAAACATTTAAACTTATTTCCATATTTTGCACGGTCATTTTTTTTAGGTTTGTCTTTTCAATTTTCACTCTAAAAATGAACCACTATTTACACACGTTCAAAGTCAATGAAAAATAAACACGATCACGAGTACGAGAAATCTAACCTATAAAACACATGTCAAGCGCACATTTCTGTTCCGCCACTCGAGAAACCAACGCGCATGCGCATCTCGTTTGCGCGCGGCTCGTTTCGAGATTTTTATCGAAATTGTCATCGCTTGTGTATAAGTTTAATCCGCGATTAAAAGTCCGATGAAGATTCATTACAAAAAATATTTGTATCATTGTTAATATAATAATGCTTCGGGAGAGTATGTTTTTCCTTGAGGTAGTACTTCTCGTTCAGAATTATCGCGTACACATGATCAAATAAAATGCTATTACATACGGCTCATCCCTGTTGGAAGTTCGATTATGATCGATTAGTAGCATCGTTAGTACAACGTGCACCGATTCAGTCAAACATTTATCACGGTAGTTTAATGATCGCGTTGCATCGTCAGAACCGGTGCGAAGATTTAACTGCAAACTGATCGAAGAGTTAAAAGCTTGTGTTTGCTTGATGGTGAAGTGTGTGTTTACATTTTTTTTCACAGAGTTGAGTGTCGTTTGACGCAGTAACGAAAACGGTGATCGTTCGAACGCCTCGAGCATTTCGTACCGGTGATTCGACCTATCGAGACGTAACAATTCGTCATGAGCAAACTGTGCTGTATCGGGCTGTCGTTGGCCACTAGGATCATCGGCACGTACACCATGGTGAGTGACAAACAATCACGTTACCGATGTTAAACCGGTTTTACGCGATGACGGGGCACAGCAACGTGCAATATCGTGAAAATTATCGTTCGATGATCAACGTTAATATTTTCATGTCCGATCCGCATTATATCCTCCCGTGTTCTTCTAGTCTCTCTCGATACTCACGATAAACGTGTTAATGAGCAACTATTTCTCAAGAACAACGGACAACGAGTTCTTTAATACTATTCAGAACTGGAGTTTTCTTGGTTTAAATTGGATACAAGTCTTAAGGAACTCGCAGTTAGAAACGAAAGGTAAGTACTAATATTATGTTCTTTTATTTTAAACATACTATAATTAACTTAAATTTTCAGCACAAACAACCGTAGTGTTTTTCCTCGTGTACACGATATCGTTTTTATTGGCCAGCGCGTATCTTGCTCTGGGATCGATCTCCGTAAGTATAACTATTCTCGATTTAAACTACAGTTAACATATCGATACTCTATGCATGAGTAGGCACGTAACAATTGAAATCGTCTACGGTGCGGTTACGTATCGAAAGTAAATCGATCGAACAAAGCTTCTTTATTTGAAAAACGTATTTTCGGCACGTAGCAACCTTGCTTAAACACGCTAACGATCTCGCTAACTTCCGCGTACGTTCACAGAGGAAACCTAAGTGCGCCGTGCCTTGGATGTATTTGCAAATGATTAGCATAATAGATCAGTCCGTGGCGCTATCTATTCATCTGATACATGGATCGCAGTACGATGCTTACGATTCATCGATGTGGTACATTCCAGTATCCAGTGTTTACCTACGTAAGTACGTTAAATTTGTCTGGTTACTGTTTAGAACATTATTGTGCTCGCCAGTCTAGATTTCACGATACAGTAGAACTCCATTTATCTGAACGTATTAATTACAAGATGATTAATGATAATTGGGATGTTCAGATAATGGAGGTTCATTTATTTCTTGAAAAACGATTAACACTTTAGAGGCCACACTTTTTACGAAATTACCTTTGAGCACTTTTTAAATACATGCTGCAAAATTGCAAATCAACCAATTATAATTATCGCGTAAAGGACAGTGAAATACAAAGTAAAGTTTCAAAGTCACAAATACGAGACACTTGTTGACGTATTAATTGAAAAACTTTGCATATTCAAGCTATTTTGAATTTGAAATGCACTGCAGACTGACTTGTGTGATTAAATTATGAAGTTAGTATTTTTTGTTACTTTAGTTATTCCAGTTTCCTGTTGTATTATTATACATTAGCTCCAATTTCATCATTACTCTTCTCACAGACTTCCAATCATTCTACTGACGTTACACTTGATCATGAGTGTATTTCTTAATTTCTGGAATAAAAATTTCGCTGTTCACATAAATGAAGTTCTACTGACGCTATCGTAACAAAGTGATCGATCAATCTGCTTTCTATCGGTTTAGTGATGTGTACGTATTTTTGGATGATCGTGCAAGCCGCCCGAAAACAGTGGGCGGAGGAGCGGCAGAATCGTGCTGATTTTGATCTGAGAGACGTCGTGTCCGCGACGCAATCGAACAATACTAACGGGCCGAAGTCGCCATCTTATCTTTCGCAAAACTTCGCGATGTTCGACTCGCCGAGACCACACACGATTTTACCAAAGTAGTTAAACTAAATGCGTGAATTCGAAGACAAACTGTTGATGGACTTGTCTGCGTCGCAAGTTATCGAGTGCCTATTTTTGTTCGTTCCTCCAGGCGAGAAGAAGGCTACCGATCAAACAGCGCATCGTAGCTGATTATCTAGATAAATCCCATGCGCGTCATAACTGAAGTACCTTTTACATTAGCGTATTTAATTTATATTCCTGACCCGCCCTCCATTTTTTATGCGTTAATAAACATGGACTTCCTTTTTGTCTAGTGGAAAATCGTTTTTACGAGTGTTCTGCGTGTTCTCCTCGAAGCATAGAAATTTAAAAGCGTAGATCTCCAGTTATATGGTTGATTCCACTTCCACGTCCTAGTCGAAGGCCATATAGCGAGACTCCAGTGTACGTCGATTTTCAAAGAAGATTCAAACGAGAGGGCAACGTAATAACCATTGATCACCGTGGATTAATGGAAAAAGCGTACAACGAGCAAACTACCAGAATACGACGAAATCTCGGTCTCGTAACGGGGCAAATGTATAATAATGTGGGTAAACTCGATAAATCAGTCCCGGGGGTTGCGACTAATAGAGTGTATCAAATGCGACCACGGCCAAGCGTGGCTGCATAGAAAATATGAGAAATGGTCGCGTTTTACGTCGGAATACTTTTAAACTTCCTTCGGATTTGAATCGCGCGCAAGCATATTCCCTTATACGGGGAGCACCGTCTCCTGGATGGAGGTCGATTTGTCCGAAAATGGTCGGAACTTTTCGCGAAACTCTCGGGAATAATGATCTAGGGTACAATGGCCGATAGGAAAGATCCCCTTCACTGCGATTTATATCGGGCGTTTCACCGCGCTCCTCGAGGATCATTTGCGTTCCAATGAAAATAACGCAACGACAAGGCGATCGCAACTTTTCGGGAAGTCAACTTTGAAAATTTCGTATTATACGTACATATATACAGTTTTCGCGCTAAGCGTGCAATTACATTCGGAGGATGTAAAAGTTGTATATCGAATCTTAGATGCGATAGAACATAAGGTAGGATAAATTAAAAGACTATGATTATTAATAACAACGCTTGTCTTTCACGTACAAATTGACGCTCGCAACAACTTCAGTAAGCTTTTCGTTGAACGATACGGCTGCGAACACGAAGGAAACAGACACGAGGAAAAAGGAGGTGGGGTACCGCGACGTGGTTGGTTGGTGGTGCTTTTAAAAAGAACTGAGCGAGCCAATTTGTAGGCTGTCGCAAACTTTTAAAACACTAGTTGACAGCCGCTCCGCCCTCTCCGCAACTCGTGCACCCTCTTCGAGGTTCGTCCAACCATCCAGAAGGATTCCGACCACCATCCAACGTCTCTCTCGTCTTTCGACTGGAGCACCCAGTCGACGGGTTCTGCGTGTTCTCCTCGAAGCATAGAAATTTAAAAGCGTAGATCTCCAGTTATATGGTTGATTCCACTTCCACGTCCTAGTCGAAGGCCATATAGCGAGACTCCAGTGTACGTCGATTTTCAAAGAAGATTCAAACGAGAGGGCAACGTAATAACCATTGATCACCGTGGATTAATGGAAAAAGCGTACAACGAGCAAACTACCAGAATACGACGAAATCTCGGTCTCGTAACGGGGCAAATGTATAATAATGTGGGTAAACTCGATAAATCAGTCCCGGGGGTTGCGACTAATAGAGTGTATCAAATGCGACCACGGCCAAGCGTGGCTGCATAGAAAATATGAGAAATGGTCGCGTTTTACGTCGGAATACTTTTAAACTTCCTTCGGATTTGAATCGCGCGCAAGCATATTCCCTTATACGGGGAGCACCGTCTCCTGGATGGAGGTCGATTTGTCCGAAAATGGTCGGAACTTTTCGCGAAACTCTCGGGAATAATGATCTAGGGTACAATGGCCGATAGGAAAGATCCCCTTCACTGCGATTTATATCGGGCGTTTCACCGCGCTCCTCGAGGATCATTTGCGTTCCAATGAAAATAACGCAACGACAAGGCGATCGCAACTTTTCGGGAAGTCAACTTTGAAAATTTCGTATTATACGTACATATATACAGTTTTCGCGCTAAGCGTGCAATTACATTCGGAGGATGTAAAAGTTGTATATCGAATCTTAGATGCGATAGAACATAAGGTAGGATAAATTAAAAGACTATGATTATTAATAACAACGCTTGTCTTTCACGTACAAATTGACGCTCGCAACAACTTCAGTAAGCTTTTCGTTGAACGATACGGCTGCGAACACGAAGGAAACAGACACGAGGAAAAAGGAGGTGGGGTACCGCGACGTGGTTGGTTGGTGGTGCTTTTAAAAAGAACTGAGCGAGCCAATTTGTAGGCTGTCGCAAACTTTTAAAACACTAGTTGACAGCCGCTCCGCCCTCTCCGCAACTCGTGCACCCTCTTCGAGGTTCGTCCAACCATCCAGAAGGATTCCGACCACCATCCAACGTCTCTCTCGTCTTTCGACTGGAGCACCCAGTCGACGGCGAAACTCACCCCCTCCTACCCCATCCCGCTGGTGCTCGTAGGGAAGCCGATGGATTGTAAAATAAAACTAACTTGGCTCTTTCGTGGCTCGAGAACGGAGTACCGGCGAAATCTTATTCCCTCGGGTCTCTTTTATTTTCGCGTACCCCTTTTCTTTTTTCTCTCTTTCTTCAACCTTACTCGGGGTGCAATCACGAAAAAGAGTTTCGCGGAAGATAGATACGACTAGAGAGTTATACTCGTTCGAAGAAACGCGAAAGTTTCGATCCTAGTTGAAATTTATCGAAAATTACGTTTAATGCTGTTACCTCTTCTATATATTTTTTTATAAAAACTGTAAGTTTTTACGAAACCTAATGGATTGTATCGAATAAAAGGAGATTGATAAACTACGAAAAGAAAGTAGCAAGTGTCGTGATTAATTGAAACGCTCCCATTTTAATTGTTTATTATTTTTGCTAAGGGTATTTGTCTTTCTTGTTTTGAAAGCAATAACAAGCTGTTTCTTTGGTATTTTTCTTTGATACGCCAGGAGCAACTTGAAATAGTTTTACGAGTATCCGACGACCAAGAAGAGAAGGGTAGTCCACACGTATGGCGCACATAAAAGATGGTGCGACGTAATTAATCTTCTTGTATGACACTTTGGCTGGTTACGGGGTAGAGCTTGCCAGGAGCCAGTACACAACATCCCACTTAAGCTCGACGCCCAGAAAACAATTAATACGAAATTGATTAATAATTATTGCGTCCCAATTTCAGTTCCCTTGTCGCTCGCTCTTGCTAGTCACGTAACCGTGAAAAAAGAAATTTTCCCATCGATCTCAGAGATTCTTTGCTTCGCCCATGAACACACCCCGTGACCAATATTCGATAAAAGATACCGGAGATACCGGTACAATTCGAACAACAGAAAAATTCATATTCAAAGCCGGAGGGTTAAAACGTTTATCCCATGAAGAAAGTCAGCGTTTACGGTCTCTCCATTTCTCTTGCGTCGTTTATTTGTTCGCCGTCGAAAATGGACAGTCGATTTGGTATTACTTTTCCAGACAGACAGACAGATTTTATTGATCTGCCGTGTTCGTTCTCCGGCTGGCCACGGATGAAGGAAGAGGGAAAACGGAGGATCGAAGGAGAGAAAGAGACAATGATGAAACGGCGGAACTGAACGCCCCATAAAGCTAACCAATGCTAATACTTCGTATCTCTGCAGTGGCGTGGTCCGTAGATAACCTGCCTTTCAGCGCGTTCGTTTGCCGGGACGAGACGGAAAATCCATCGTGACGCCAATGTCCTGGACCGGAATTGGCAATAAACGCGTAACCGAGCCTAATTCGTAATGTTGGCTCAGTCATTGTGGCCCATTGTGAATTCTCTTCCCCTGTTATTCGGGGTTCACGAATATAATGCTGGGGTTATCGCAGGAAACTGCCAGTAACGACTGTAAGAGGCATGTACTCTTCCAAACGCGCGCGATTCGCTTATCCTTTGATCGCTCTTGCGAATTACCCTCCAATACTAAATCGCTTTCGCTGGAATTATAGTTGATTGTTTCTCTGATTCAGATTTGTGCCATCAGCTTGCACATTACACGTGATAGTAATAACAGACCCGCACGTCGTAACAAAAATTTGTTCAATAAAAACATTGAGACAGGAAGGGGAGAATATCTTTCTCGTTCTTCCTATACACGTAACTTGAATACTTGATCATCTGTCTACTTAGATATTTGAATATTTGAAATACTCGAATAACCGAGATGCCAATAATTTTATCTCTGTATGTCATCAAAAATTTTCACCACTTTTCTTATCGAACAAAAGTCTGAAACGTGGACGAATGACCGTCTCCGACCAAGAGACCGGATATGGACACGAGAAATCGCATTACTTTCGAATTTCTTTCCGTTGCAACAAGGGTGGCACGTGCTCGTGCCGTTTTTTGTACTCCTTCCTTTTTAAGAAGAGACGGATGGCCAGTGGGAAACGAGGAAGTAAATTTGTGAACACGATGGCCGAGAGGATACAATAGCTGCGTTTAATACTACATTAAACACGATACAGAACGATCTACCCCCGTGACTACCGTGACAAAGTTTCCTGGACAATGCGATCCGATGACTGTATTAGTAAATAGGGGAATAGAAATGTGCAAGCACGTGCGCGCTACAATAGTAGAGACCTCATTTCCACAAAAGTATAGAAATTTCACTTTTATCTAACCCTCGATTTCTCCACACCTCTAATTCCAATAAACTATGCTTTGACAAAATGCATAAAAACCTTAAGCTGTAAAATTCACGATAGGTGCTACAAGAACTCGATGACCGTTTCAATACTGTTCTACGGTAGAACCGACTTAATACGGAGTAAAGATCGATGTCCAGTGGTGGGTTAGATCGATCACAAAAGGGAAGAAGGAAAGGGGTCAGAATCAACGGTGTCCCTCGTTTTATCTGGTCGGTCGATTCAAAGTGACGGAAGCGAGCGAGGGGTGTAGTGGGCGGAAGGAGCCGGTTTTTCGAGAATGGCTGCCGTAGGTGTCGAAGGAACGAGGCCGCAATTAGGCGGTCCTGGGGTCGACGAGCAACGACGAGGTCGGGCATTATGCAAAGCAGATTTTAAATTTAGATGTGGCCCACCGTGGCCACACCTATACACCCCCGGGTGCAGCTTCGATTACAGAAAGTGTATGGTCACACGGACACGAGCGAAGACACGCGAACTAGCTAGCTAGCAAGCTAGCAAAAGGGGTGGTGTACAAGCGTGGGTCGTGTCGTGCTCGACAAATTAGCGCGTTTTAAATCCAATCCGAGCCGAGAAAAGGGAGGGAATCGTTACGGAGAAACGAAAGAGAGAAAGAGAGATAGGTCGAGGGACACTCTACGAGCTGTTTTGCATTTCTGGCTCGCGCTCGTGCGCCCAACATTTGAGGTGTAAAATATTAAATCCAGGCGCCTCCGCCATATCGCCTACGTCCTCGAAAGAGGAGGATGAGCTGAACAGGAGGTGGATGGAAACTGTACGCATGGATACAGGGGTGCGAGCATAAAGCCATGTTCACATTGCTTTAGTTCTCGGCGTAGGATGGTAATATCTATTCTTGTATAGATATTCAAATATTCGAATGGCGATGCTCAAGAATTCATTCTCCACGAACTATCATACAAAAGAATGTTACAAAAATAATGAAAAAAGTGTGAAACCTGAAGCATATTCTTTTTCCTACTCGCGAAGCTTATACCGTATTAAATTGTGCCATCTTAAATCCCTAGGGTGTCTCCTGAATTTTTTTTTTTATTAAAGATTGGCATTTGGCAAAGAAGAAAACTCATCTCGCGAGGCTAACCAGAGTAGCTAATGTTTGTGTATCAATGTGAACGGGACCTAAAGGAGGTGGAGAAGGGGTCCGTAGCTGGATGGGGGAGGATATGGCGAGGGCTGCTCTGCGGCGCGCACTCAGCGAGTTTACATTTAAATGTAAAAGTGCCGAGTGCTGCTAGGCGAAAGCTGCTGTTTTGCATTCGAAAGCTCATGATTGCCTCTGAGCTTTGCTTTTGACGTCGAGCCGTTTCTGATCGATCACAAAAGGGAAGAAGGAAAGGGGTCAGAATCAACGGTGTCCCTCGTTTTATCTGGTCGGTCGATTCAAAGTGACGGAAGCGAGCGAGGGGTGTAGTGGGCGGAAGGAGCCGGTTTTTCGAGAATGGCTGCCGTAGGTGTCGAAGGAACGAGGCCGCAATTAGGCGGTCCTGGGGTCGACGAGCAACGACGAGGTCGGGCATTATGCAAAGCAGATTTTAAATTTAGATGTGGCCCACCGTGGCCACACCTATACACCCCCGGGTGCAGCTTCGATTACAGAAAGTGTATGGTCACACGGACACGAGCGAAGACACGCGAACTAGCTAGCTAGCAAGCTAGCAAAAGGGGTGGTGTACAAGCGTGGGTCGTGTCGTGCTCGACAAATTAGCGCGTTTTAAATCCAATCCGAGCCGAGAAAAGGGAGGGAATCGTTACGGAGAAACGAAAGAGAGAAAGAGAGATAGGTCGAGGGACACTCTACGAGCTGTTTTGCATTTCTGGCTCGCGCTCGTGCGCCCAACATTTGAGGTGTAAAATATTAAATCCAGGCGCCTCCGCCATATCGCCTACGTCCTCGAAAGAGGAGGATGAGCTGAACAGGAGGTGGATGGAAACTGTACGCATGGATACAGGGGTGCGAGCATAAAGCCATGTTCACATTGCTTTAGTTCTCGGCGTAGGATGGTAATATCTATTCTTGTATAGATATTCAAATATTCGAATGGCGATGCTCAAGAATTCATTCTCCACGAACTATCATACAAAAGAATGTTACAAAAATAATGAAAAAAGTGTGAAACCTGAAGCATATTCTTTTTCCTACTCGCGAAGCTTATACCGTATTAAATTGTGCCATCTTAAATCCCTAGGGTGTCTCCTGAATTTTTTTTTTTATTAAAGATTGGCATTTGGCAAAGAAGAAAACTCATCTCGCGAGGCTAACCAGAGTAGCTAATGTTTGTGTATCAATGTGAACGGGACCTAAAGGAGGTGGAGAAGGGGTCCGTAGCTGGATGGGGGAGGATATGGCGAGGGCTGCTCTGCGGCGCGCACTCAGCGAGTTTACATTTAAATGTAAAAGTGCCGAGTGCTGCTAGGCGAAAGCTGCTGTTTTGCATTCGAAAGCTCATGATTGCCTCTGAGCTTTGCTTTTGACGTCGAGCCGTTTCTCGTTGCCGACGCGACGGACCGCGAGAGGCCGCTCGCTGTCGGAGCTGCGAGTCGATTCTCGTTTCGGACAGATGGAATCAGCCTCAGAGCTTCCGGGGGTGGAAAAAATAAAGCGTAGCGCAAACGGAATCGAGGATTATCTCCAACTGATTCCCGTTCTCGAAACATCCAAACAAAGTCGTCGAACAAATCCAATACTATAGATTATTTATAGAAAACTGAAGTATAGACAATTGGAAACTCGATATCCATCAACGAACAACTAGTCAATTTATGTCGAAAATATTTATGAAACGTTAACCTAGAACTTTCTGTTTCAAATTGATATACCATTTTACTTTCTTATCGAACAAAAAGCTCGATATGCTACAACCTCGCATTATTATTTTATTATTGTTCCGACTAATAACGTGGAAAATCCAAGCTTAAATGCGTTGATTAGATTCCCGTTATCTTTCGGTGGTGGACAGTCGTCGACATAACTCGATATTTCCATAATCTTCATTAATGCGTTCGTCGATAGCTCGTTAAGCTCGGAATAATCGCGTCAGTCGATGCGCTAAACGGATCGCCGGCTAATTAACAGCATCCATCTAGCCATTTCGTCTCTGAACAAGGAAATTCGGCGAATTTCGAAATCCTCCTCCCATGTTGCATCTCCCAGCATTTCCCCAGTCCGTTCTACATAATCCAACGATATTTTTGCTTTTTACCAAGCTCGTGTCTTTCAGGGAAGAACGTCGCTGTGCGTTCTTTTTGTACGAACGTTACACGTACACGTACGTACGTACGTCGACAAATGCACCCACACGCCGGCACGATTTATTTCCGGGCTCTAATCAATTCTCGGAACGGAACTCGACGGACACACGAAACCTCCGTGAACCTTACGTACCGAGCCCGATGTTATTCTTCTAATATGTATGTTTCTTATGAGCGCCGGTAAAAGGGCTCCCCGTGCAATTTCCAATGATAGATCGAGTCCTGTGGACAAGTTCCATTACGGTCAGCCTCTGAATTATTGAACTGGCAATTCCCCGGCGACACGCGGGACACCCTGCATCAAAGTGTCAACGGGCTCATTAAGCCTCCAAATCAGGTGAACTAACGCGCTAACTGTTCTTACCCTCTGGATTCTCTCGGTAAACGTCATCATCTAATGGATTTTCTTTCCTCTTTTGCTCGGGGTCGTGTGAACATCGAATCGCTCTCGATTTTCTACCACTTGATATTAACTTCCTTCGTCCAGCTTATGTAACGCGCGAAAGCATGTATATATCGATGTCGAATCGATTTTGTACCAACGTAAGTTTTATCGCGACTGATCAGAAGTACTCAAAAACTGTACCGAATGACCGAGTATAGCGTTACACGAGCCTCACAGGACGTTCACTTTTTATTTTCAATGCGCTTCCTCTTACGCGTCGAAAAGAGCATTTGCATTTTGGTCGATAGATCAAAAAATAGCAGATTACTTATCTGTAATCCCTTGAAATAGGACCTGTTACTGCAAACTGCGGTATCTTTGCTCACGATCACCGACACGGAGAGAAGGGCACGGATCGCTATCTGAAAACGCCCTTCTGGTCCATATGCTGGGTTAATAAGAACCCTAATAACGGGTACCACCCTATCAATACGTGGGGACTGTCACTAAATATTTTTCTTCCTCAACGGTTGCTCTGGGAATTCGTCCGTGGCGATGCTTCGCCGTTCGGCTACATATGTCGTCGTCAAAGAGTGACGTATTTCGGGGAAACATCGATCCGATTCGTCTCTTGCAAATTTCATCTTGTCGGTTCGCTCGAGAGAAACGTCCTCTTACTCTGAAATCGGTTAATCGACAAATAAACATCTTGTTTCTGTTTCTCGTTGGAGATCGTGACTCGCCATTTTCAAGATACAAATGTTTTTCGAGGAAAGACACAAACAGCTGTTTTATGATTCAGACGCTTTGAGACTAATACGATATCACGTTTTCTGGAATACGTCTTCATCGCGTAATTTGGCTCAGCCGAATGGATTACCTCCATGTCTTTAATCGCTTCTAATCAAATACTTAAGGCAAGCGGTAGCGGGCCCACTTACTTGGTAGAACCGGAATGAAGCATAAAAGAAAAAAATAGGAGAGGAACATTGTTTTTATTAATTCGTCCCGGTTGAAATGCAAATGGGTCAATCACGCGTCCGGAAGGCTAGAGCTGGCGGCGCTTACTCGAGTAATTTATTCGTAAGGGCGTTAAAGTTTCATAAGTCGTGCACATAAAATGCACTCGAGAGTGGAGAGCAAGGGTATCCCGGTCGTTCCCGTCCGCTCGTTCCCGTTCTCTTCTCTATCCCTGGCGCGGCAGAAAATTATGCAGATGGCGGAGAAAAGCTTTGATAAACACGACAGTCTCTGATCGTTATGCAGATCCGCGCCACTGTAAAATGGCGGCAATCTCTCCCTCTCACTCGACCGTCCAACCCCTCTTTATCTATCCGTCCTCTGCCTCTTCTGATCCTCCCTAGCTCGCTGGACCCCATGGGTGTTTCAGCTTCTCACCCTGTCTCTCCTACCTTTTCCTTCTTCCTCGCTTTTCAACTCCCTCCCCACCCTCCGTTTCCTCACCCTTCTTCTTTCTCTTTCAGCTCCTCCGCCTCCGCCACGGCTCGCTACTGATTTTCACACCCCGGCCACGGCATTACCAGCCCAAGTCGAGGGTGGAAATACGCACCCTCCTGCTTGTTTCTGTGACGCGTCTGCGCCGACTTGTACCACCCGTACGTACGTATATATATATGCACTGCAATTTCATTGGAAGATCGTGCTGGCACTCGAAGACACGAACAACCAGCTTCGTACACGCTCGACATCCACTCTTGTTCTCGTCCTCGAGACCGAATCATCGGGATACCAGAAACGCGCATATACTTTACAACCATCTCGTTCTTGATACCCCGGCACCAGCAAAATGCTCCTGAAGACGCCTCCAGACGCTTCTTTCCTTTTCTCTTCTTCGTTTATTGTCAGTCTTCCTTATCGTGATATATTGAATGTTGAACGAAGGAGTTTTGGTATTAGAATTTATAAATGGATCTAGCAGATTT